TTATTTAAAAAAAATTAGTTGAAATTTATGTATAATTTGTTAAAAATTAGTTAATTAAGTTATTCGGACTTGATCAGATTTTCGGATTGTTAACGGATTCAAATATGGACCACACAAATAAAATTCGTCGGATTATTGGATATAATTCGGATTCGGATCAGTTAGACTCCGATCTAAATCCGATCCGTTGATAGGCCTAGTTACTAATAACACAATTTCACACACAAGTGGTCTTTATATAGCAATTATTTGTGCAAACTTGTCGTTAGACAAAATAGCCGTTGTCCACTTCCAACTGAGCCCCATCAAGGCTATTTTGGGAATTTTGAAAGAATAATTTGCTTGCATAAGCAAACTATTCACTCACATTGAGGGAGTGAAGATGTTATGGGGGAATCTGAGAGGAACAACTGAAACAGAGGGGAGGGCAGTGTTATATGTCTAACCTGAGGGGGTCTGGTTGTTATATGGGCAAACCTCGAGAGAGGTGGATGTAATTTACCCTCTCTTTTTTTTCCAAATAGTACTTTTCTATTTCTTTATGTCTGAATTTGATTAGTGTATTTATTCTGAAGCCATTGATTTGCGTTATAGTTTTTTGATTAGCAAAACCATGAGTATACTAATGGGACTGTTAAAGTTAAAATGACCTTTTAAGTATTCAATTCCATTACAGGCATGGGTGCAAAAATTTGATACTTAACATAAGATAATGCTCTTCCTTTTACTGAGTGAAGGGTGGTCATGGCGGGAAACCTCACCCAAAAACAAAAATTCACACACGAAAGAAAAGGAAAGAAATTCTTCCTCTGTCCTAGCTTATGGACTGACCCACAAGATCAGTGGTTTGAATTCCAATTCCCAAACACACCTTGTTGTTACCTGCAAAGCTGGAGTGGACAGAAAAGAGCTCCTTGAACACGAGTCACATAACTTATACACCCCTTTTCTTGAAGGCTCTATATGCCTACTGACTTTCCCTTCTGTGGAAGATCTAATGAACATGTGTTGCCATGAGATTATTCCATTGAAAGTGGCTCCACCCTTTTTTTTGGGCGTTGGGGAGGAGGGTACCAAAAGGTGTTAATGACACCTTGAGTTCTACTTAATTTTACCATTTGACAAAAATGTATGCGAATACTTGACCAATAGGTGTACAGTAAGTGTATGTTCCTTACTGTATTATGAGTCAGACACTCCTAAATAAACCTTTATTCAAGATATTAATAGAATTGAACGATTGATTCATGTTTCAGATAAAACCTGTCAGAGATAGTGTGACAGAGGCGTTGCAGCTATGGAAGAAGATTGCAGGAAAAGGAGATGGAGCTGCGGATGACCAGGATGGGGAAAATTCTGAATATGCTGAGTTGTCAGAGAAGGACCTTCCAAATCTTGGTGAGAGAAGAACTGAGACATCAGCGAAGGATTCATCCAATGGACTGTCCCCTTCTAGTGTTCCCAAAGCGAGGGGTACCAACATTTCAGATAAAGCAGCTGGGATATTAAAGAAGAAGGCCCCAGCATTGACTGACAAAGAATTGAACCCAGAGTTCTTCCAGAATCTTGAAACAAGGGGTTCAGGTGATTTGCCTGTAGAAGTGGTGGTCCCACGCAGATGTCTAAACTCTTCACAATCACACAATGAGGAAGACACTGAGGCAAATGATACTGATTCAAGTGCAAGGTTAAAGGGTCCCTGCCAGCCAGACGACCAATCTGCTAACTTTAAATACCGGAATATTGAAAGGGGGACTGCTGGTGCATTTTCTAGACAACGAGATATTGATGATAGGAGTGAAGTAAATCAAAGAGAGTCATCCAGTATTCATGTGGGGTTTTCCAAAACTGACGGTCAGTCTGAGGGTTTTGTCAATAACAGAGCAAATTGGTTGGCTATCCAGAGGCAGTTATTACAACTGGAGAGGCAACAAGCTCATCTAATGAACATGTTGCAGGTCTGCTAAGTTAATTTACATGAAAAAATGGTTCCTATCTCTGTTTTCTCCTTAACAATTTCCTTACAATGCAGGATTTCATGGGTGGGTCTCATGATAGCATGGTGACTCTAGAGAACAGAGTATGGGGTCTCGAGAGAGTTGTTGAAGATATGGCACGGGATTTGTCAATGTCAGCCAGTAGAAGAGGTGGTCATTTTATGTTGGGGTTCCAGGGATCTTCAAATAGGTCCCTGAGCAAATACAATGGCTTCCCTGACTACTCTAGTGCCAAGTTGGGGAGGGGTGGTGATGGGCGAGTTTCCTTCAGTGAGAGGCTTGTACCGTCCAACGGTATTGTTTCAGGCATGAGGGGTAGGGGCCCTCCATGGAGATCTGAGGCGCCTGAAGTTTGGGACTTGCACTCCTTTGGAAAAAATGGCCAAATGAGCTCTAGGAGAGCTCTAGGTGGTGGTTCCATAGGCAGTAGGTCACCCAAATCAGAACATGAAAATGATCAGGTTGGCAGCAGGAGAGCTTGGGATAAAGGAGCTGGACCTGTTAGATTTGGGGAGGGCCCTTCTGCAAGAAGTGTCTGGCAAGCTTCGAAGGATGAGGCAACCTTGGAAGCAATTCGAGTAGCTGGTGAAGACAATGGAACTGCTCGAAGTGCAAGAGTTCATATACCAGAGTTGACTGCTGAATCATTAAGGGATGACAATATTGTGCGAGAGCGTGATCCAGTTTGGACATCTTGGAGTAATGCCATTGATGCACTTCATGTGGGTGATATTGATTTGGCTTTTGCAGAAGTTTTGTCTGCTAGGGATGACCTCTTGCTAGTGAAGTTAATGGACAGATCTGGCCCTGTAATTGACCAACTCTCAACCGAGGTAGCAAGTGAGGTTTTGCATGCTGTTGCACAGTTTTTACTGGAGCAAAACTTATCTGATATCTGTTTATCTTGGATTCAACAGGTATGGATTGTGTTTTATAATTTTCTGGTCTTCAATCTGCTTTACCTGAGCTAGTTCTGTTATTGCAAAATTTTGACAAATAGTACACAGATGTCATATGCATAACAATCAGTATAATAATTATCTGGTAACTGTAAGCAATTTGCTAGTAATTTTAAGCAACTATTTGCAAGTATAACAATATGAATATTCTTGTTATTCATAGAGTTTTCCTGAGATGGTGTAGTTACACGAAACGAGATGATTTAAGTCTTGAAATAAGGTGGAAAACTGACAGGAAATCTTTTATGGTAAGACATGTTTAGGACACATAAGAATAACACCCAGTTTAGTCCCCATGAATGGGGTTTGGGATGGGTAGATTGGGTGAAGAGTGAAGATCTTTGGCATTATTTGTACAAAGTGGTTGCCTTCAGATTCGAACTAACACAACTTCAAGGTTATTGGACTGATTTTAACCATGAACCAATGGCATTTCTAGAAATAGAAACTGATAAAAGAAAACTGGTGGAGATAGTTTAGTGATCAGCAATGAATCTATATCCTGACTCTAGTTGTTCAAGGACACAGCTTGCATTTGGGCAATCAGTTGCTGTTCCTGGGTCCTACCAGATGACATTTAACAATACTTTAGTATGTAAAATGCCTTAGTTTTGCGAAGATTACAGAAGTTAGTTGCACCTATGCGGCAATCACCAATAATCTGTGTCATATATCTTGAAAAAAGCATCACTCTGTATTTCTTAGCAGGAATACCATAACGAATAACATAGCATGCAAAATGTTACCAACTCCCGGGTACTTCCTGGGATCTAACTTCAATATTTTGTTGAAAGTTGACAGGAAGTAGCCGCACCATCTATTATCTTTCCGTGGCTACGGAGTCTAGAGAAGAGAAACTATATGAGTGGCGATTTTTCAATAATTGGAGATCTATTGGCTCACCGAGCATAGAAGTGAATTGAATTTAAAATTCCAATTTCATACTCAGACTACAGAGTTGAACCAGAGTTGACCTTAAAAACAGCAAAGAGAGAAGTAACTACCAACTGCTGTTGCAAAATATATGATTTGCGTTTGGTTTATCAATATAGAAGATAAAGAGAGGATTAGGGATTCCCTCAATTGAATTTTTAACTTCTAGGATAACCATTCTAGACACCGATGTGGTAACAATATTGTTACGAAAAAATTGGTAACACCACAGCCAAGTAAATATATGAATCACATGTGAACTCCCTACTTTCAAAATCATGATATGACCTTACATGATTAGGTATTGTACCATTTTGGCTAACAAGAATGTTACCCTGTCATTGATTGAAAGACCCACTTTTCTTCTATCATCATAATTTGTTGATTTTCTAAACTATGATGCTTTCTATACTCCAGTTCTCACTTGTAGTGATGCTGCAATGTCACAATTTTTTTTTTCTTTTGGATTGATGATTAATGTTTTACTCGAGTGTTCTTGAAGTTGTGCTTACTTCTTTGCTGCCTGATCTCCAGTTGGTAGATATTGCCATGGAAAATGGATCCGATGTCTTAGGCATTCCTATGGAAGTAAAACGGGAGCTGCTGCTAAATTTACATGAAGCTTCTTCAACAATTGACCTACCTGAGGAATGGGAAGGTGCAACGCTGGACCAACTCTTACTGCAGTTGGCGTCAGCCTGGGAAATTGATTTGCAGCAGCTGGGGAAGTAATGCCTGCCTCTCGGGATTTGTATTCTATGTTTATCGTTCATGTCTGGTGGTTAGGATGATACATCTTGTAACTACACATATAGTGAACTAATCGGGGAACAGTCGTCGCAAATTGATGAGTCCATCATCAAACTCTGTTTCGAATAAGTGATTGGAATTTGGAATTGAATATAGTTTTTTTTTGGCTTTAATACAAATTCATTTTGACATATGACAATATTTGCCCTTCTTTAAATTTCAACAAGTACTAGGCAGACTGTGTGTCTGAAATGTTGAAACACAGCTAATGATGCAGAGCTGATCAATCGTTTGAAAACTCTTCCACTATTTATATTTTTAAAATATATTTTAAAATATTAGCACCAAGTCCACAAGGATGTACAAAATTCTGATCAAACCATAAAGAAAATGCGAGAAGAAGCTGTTTTCTCAGTCTCTGCTCCAACCACTATCTGGTGCATTGTTTTCAATATTCTCAGCAGTATTTCTTTATGATTACACTGATTCCTCTGCTTCTGCCTCATCGATCTTATTTACAGATAAGTACTCGAGAGCAGTTACCACATCGCTGATCAAAGGCCGGACACTGGCTTCCTCCTGAAGACACATTGCTGCTATCGCAAGAGCTTGGTAGAGACCCTTTATGGGGTAGTTCCCTTCAAGCAATGGGTCTGCCATTAAATGAAACATCCTTTTGTCCTTGAACAAAGGTTGTGCCTGCATATTTGTAACATTGTGAATTTGCAAGCCAACCTCTAACAATATACCAGAAAAACTTCCATAGAATGATTAAGCTCTGAATGTAAGTAGTTTCAAAGTGGTTCATAACTGTTGAAGAAGATTTAGCTTTTTATTGGTTGAAAGTTTAAAATCCTGGTAAATAGAAACTTCAGAAATCATGTATAACAATGCAGAATAAGACATACCCAAGTAACAAGGTTCTGCTCTTCACTAGGTCTTGAGTTATCGATAACTCTCCTTCCCGTGATTATCTCCAAAAACACTACACCAAAGCTGTAAACATCGGACTTTGTAGTTAACTGGCCTGTCAATGCATACTCGGGTGCACAGTAGCCGTAGGTTCCCATCACCCTGGTAGACACATGGCTCTTATCACCAGTTGGACCTAGCTTGGCAAGTCCGAAATCAGAAAGCTTTGGGTTAAATCTTTCATCTAATAGTATGTTAGATGCTTTGAAATCGCGATAAATCACTGGAGGGTTAGCTGTTTCATGCAAGTACTCTAGTCCTCTGGCAGCCCCTTCAGCAATTTTCATCCTAGTATTCCAATCTAGAGGCTTTCTCTGTGAACCTATCTCTGAAAATCAGAGTTTCACTGATCAGTATAGATATCTGATAAGAGTCCTCGCAGGGTCTGTTTGTGTAGCAAGAAAATGCTAGAAAATATAAGAAAGAGAAAATTTTAAAATTTTACATGCGTTTGTTTAGCATGAAATAGAAAATGATAGAAAAAATAATTTTCTCTCATGTTTAGATTTTCTCACATCTAACTAACTTTTTTTCTTACAAAAAACACAAAAAAAAAGTAAGAAAGTTGTATTCAATAACTTAACTTCCCATTTTACTCTTATTTTTCTTAAAATATTCAATTAGTTATTAATTTTAAAAAAATATGTATAAATTAGGCTAATCATATAATTTGGTGTAGAGATTAAGGTTCAAGTCGTTCTTTGTTTCTAACTTAGGTTAGTAGTCAATTTTTTAAAAATTTGAATAATAAAAAATATGTTTTTCTTCTTCAGACAGTGTTAAAATACTTGAAGATAATTTAGACAATTAGAAAATTTTTCTTATAACTTTCTTTGTTTTTTTAAATAATGGAATGAAATTATTTTAAAATTTTCTTAGAAATTTTTTACGCTAACCAAATACATGCATGAAAATATGTTTTCTTTCACTTTCTTTTCTTTTACTTCACTTTCTACCTCTTTTATTTTTCATCACCTTTTTCTTGCTAACCAAACGGACCCATATTGAAAAAGGAAAAAATTGAAAGGGGTTCACAACATTGTTCAAAGAATCGCCGAGTCTGATACGAATGCGAGAGAAAAACAGTGTAGACATACCAAGAAGGTGATCTTCTAGTGAACCATTGGACATGTACTCATAGACTAATATCCTCTGCTCACCATCGGCGCAGTATCCGACCAAATTGACAAGGTTAGAATGGTGAAGAAGAGACAGCATCAGTACCTCCACAAGAAATTCTCTGTTTCCTTGAAATCCATTTCTATCAAGTTGCTTAACAGCAACATCCTTTATGACAAACATTTATATAGAATAAGAGATTGAAATAAAAATATGAACTAGAAACAAAATGATATGTAAGAGAAAAATGATTTGCAACATTACTATGTTTTTGCTTTGAAGGTGTCCTTTGTAAACCCTCCCAAAACCACCTTCACCAAGCAATGATTCAGGGTTGAAGTTTTGAGTTGCAACACACAGTTCACGGAATGAAAATATCTGAGCAGAAATATTTCCTTTTCCGATTTTTTCGATCTCTTCGGCTATGTACCTCCTCCTGCTGCTATCTGCACATTGAATTACAGTCAATTTGGATCAGGTAATCAAAAGTATTGTGGTTGCCAAAACCATATTCTCCACCATCATAATATCAAAGGAACAACTGAACAAAGAGAGATCGGGTCAAAGAGCTGGATAAAGAGATTCAATCGTTGGAGAAGAGCAAACTGAAGAAAGAAGTCACTACTGCAACTCTTATACAGTAAAGAAAGGAAATAAAGATCTATTTCGCTTTGTAGGGATAGGGGGGGCTTGGAATCGTCGTGGGAATCTTTCTGGTTCCCGCTCCCTCCTTCCTGGCCCTCTTGCTTTCTATGAGTAAGATTCCTATGAGCCCATGTGCGATCATGCAAAATAGATAGGGTTCGATATTACGAATCCAATATAAGAAATGACAAGATTCTAAAATGTTTGAGTATGGTGCAATTCTGTGGAAAAATCCATGTATAGGACCAGGAGTTATTATCTACATTTTGCTCAAAAATTGGATTTTGGCAAGAAAACTGCTGTCAATAAGTTTTTCTTTCCTCAATCTCAAACCCAAAAAATGAAAAAAAATTCAAGTTCAACAAATATTCGGTATTCAAGAGGTTCAAAGCCCAGCATAAGATTGAAAATCGCTCCAATGAAGATGAATTGGAAGGAAAAGTTTCAGTTATTAAAATTAACCATAATTATGTGCAAAAGGCTAATGCATCTGTTGAACAAGATAAGGGACTGATGGGGCAAAAGGACATGGAATTATGCCTATAAGATGAACAGATTTGAATATGACAATCATCCAAATTACAAAAAAGGAAATTAAAGATACCAGTTTTGAATGAAATGTTAGCAAAAGAAGCTAATGTTTTGGTGTCTTTGTATTCCTGAATGCTTTTTTTCAATGACTTTCTCAGGATCTTTTCTTCTGACTGGCAACATGAAAAGCAGCCCATTTTCCTTTCTCTCCCCTACTTCCCAATCATACCCAGATTCAAAAAATCACCAAACCAGTGGACAAACAAACAAAAACCCTGTTCAAGGACACAATTTCAAGGTTGAAATTCAGATGAATATTGGGAATCTTTGTCCAGGAAAAATCCACTCGTCTGGTCTCTCAGGAAACTAAGAAGAATTTCCACAATTGTTTTTTTTATCATTTTCCTTCAAAATGCCAGGTGTTCCATTTGACTTGGTCAAAATTGCTAATCATAGTAACAGAAAATAACCGTTTTAAGGTGGAAATTTTATCTTTAATGAGGAAAAAATGGATGTTTTTCAGCCAGTTAATTCTCTCTGCTATTTTTAGCTTACAAAATTAATGCATATGTTTACATCAAGATTGATCTTAATGGCCACGACTTTACTAATTTTTGAGTTAGTTTTTTCGGGCAATCAGATGATATATGTCATGGTTGGGGTTTTATTTTTAGGGTTCAAAGTATCGATCGATACCGATTTATCTTCCGATGTAATCCCATTTCACGTTCGGTGTCAAACACAACTCTTGCAATAATTTACCGAGTCTTTCGAAAATTCTTCAAGTGAATCCTGAATTATCCGAGTTATCGCCGTTGAATTGACCGACCATAAATCATGGATTAACCCAGAATGGCCAATGAGATTTAATCAATTTAAGGCTAAACAGATAAGGTATTCCCGGCTTAAGATTACACAGAGCTCGAGTTATCCAAATAAAACCATTAGCCTTGGTTGAGTTAAGGAGATGAGGTTGATCACTATAACAATGATGGGCTTTAGTGACAAATTTTTTAGTGACCAAGTTATTTTTGTCATTAATGATACCTTTTTAGTGAGGACATGTGAAATTGTTATTAATGATCTAGGATGAGTGACGACAACACTATTTGTTACAAAAAGTTAACGTTTAGTGATGAATTATTATTTGTCGTTGTAATTTCGTCACTAGAAATGTGAAAAATTGAATAAATAGTAATGAATTTTATTGTTGTCACTCAAAATGATAATCAATTACTTTTAGTAATGAGATTAGTTGCCTCTGAAAGTTTCAAGGTTTGGTGATAACTTTAATGTCGTCACTAAAACACTAATGGTTTTAGTGGTGACTTTTATGTCGTCACTAGAACTTTCATAGTTTTAGTGACAACATTGGTGTTGTTATTAAAAATTTTATACTTTTAGTGATGATTGTCAAGTCGTCACTAAATTTTTTTTTTTGAGTAACTAAATTAATTATGTCACTAAAAATATAAAAATTTATGTCACTACATCGGTGTTGTCAAGTGGCTTATTTTATATTGTTTGGCAAATTTCAAATTATACCACATCACCTCCTAACCTACAAAAATAAAAAACAAAATGCTCTTGTTATTTCTAGACTAAACTACATCTTAATTAAGTTTGTTAACAAAATTCTGAAACATCCTTAATTCATAAAAATAGTAAAACCAAAAATTTATTTAATTTAAATATCAATACATGCCACAACCTAGCTAGTATAGTGGTTGTAAGGCAAGTCGAAAAAAACTCGAGTTAAATCAAAATTTTTAAAACTCTCAAGCTAAGCTTTATTTGAAATTTTCAATGTCAGTCATGGTTAATTTTTGAAATTAGATGATATGCAAGTAGTGGTGAAATTTGAATCAATCGACTTCAATTGAGGTTTGATTTTTGAGGTACATAACATGGATAGAAATTCAAGTTGAAATCCAATTTAATTGAAGTTTGAATCTTAAGTTAAGCAACTAGGGCGTAAATTTGATTTCAATTGGATTGGATCCTAAAAAGTAGAGATATAAATTGAGTATTGTTTGATTTTAAATTGGGTTGATAATTTTTTATCCAAAGTGTGCTCAATATTGATTTTTTTTTTTTGGGTTGGTCTGCGTTGGATTTTAAATTCACCAAGTTTCCCCTTTCATGAACCATCACCAAATCCAAAGTGGTGTGACTCGAATTATATTGGGTCGTGTTCGGGTAATGTTATATTACGTTCGTGTCAAGTATTAGACAACCATAACTCGATCAGTTTAATTAATCGTGTCAAATATTTAAATACTAAATTGAATACCCATGAATTAATTATGTCAAGTATTGTGTCACTTTCGAGTTGACCCATATAATCCATAAATTCAAAATTTTTTTGGGGGTGTTAAAAAAATTTAGATTTTGTTACACATCTATATAATGAGGGCCAATAGAATTTGAATTCCCAACTTATAAAATTGTTTGAACTTTCTACATTGTTTCAAAATTATTAATCCAACAAATAATATTGACCTTTAAAATTTTTTTTTTTTGCGTCCTTCAATGATGCCAACTGATCCTAATTTTCTTATCACCTAAAATCTCTTCCACTATTTTTTTAATATTTTAATAGAGTAATACTATTGAGATCTAATTTACTGACATAATTTGTTGACCTAATTCACTATGACATTTGGATTCATTATAAATCCTATTAAATATTGAAACTTGGTATTGATACAATGATTCCTATAAAATTATATCATTATGTCAGTAAATTAGTTTAAATTTTTAGGTCTAAATAGTATTACTCGTCTTAATAATATAATCATATCCCCTATTTTAAATCAAAATCCCTAAAACCCTATCAACAAAACCCTCTCTTTTTTGATTCATTCTATAAAACCAGAGGGGCTTGCCTGTTCTTTGCACCAAGATCAGCAGGTTGGTTTTTTATGACCATGGTTGATTTGGAATTGGTCTATGCTTCTATGCTGGTGATGACTGGTTTATGCAAGTTGCAGGGATACAAGGAGTTGAATTCTGGGAGAAAGTGGCTGCTGCTGCTGTTTTTTCTGGTTTTTTTGATTCTTGTAATTTTTGAGATTCATTCAATAAAATTGCTTGGTTTTTTTTTTTAAAAAAAAAAATTAGTTCACCCAACAAACAAGAGACTAGCCACTAATGAATTCAACATAAAAATGTTGAAACTGTATAAGAAGTTAATTGAAACCTCAAAGCGAATCAAATTTGTGTAACAACCGTCTCCATCTCTCTATTTTATTCTCTTGATCGCATTCATATAATATAAAATTATTCACTTTATTATTTTACTCTAATGTGGCATTCTCACACGTAAAGTCTATACCACTGAACTGATGTAATGCTAGCACATATGAAAGACAAGCACTCCAAATCCAACATAAAATATGGTGTGTCCATTCAATCGAATTTTAATCAGCTCAAATTGAATTTTAACCAACCAAACTTTAATACGTAAAAAAATTATAAATTTTAATTGACTCAAATCTTAATGTGTAAAAAATGAATTTTAATCGGTTCGAATCGAATTTTAACACGTAAAAAAATATAACTGTTAATCGAATCGAATTGAATTTTAATCGGTGGTAGCAGCTCAAGATTGAGCTCAAATAGTCTTGAATTTTAATGCGTCAAAAAAGAAATTTTAATAGACTCAAATTTTAATACGTAAAAAAAATATTAATCAGCTCGTATCTATTTTAATCGACTTATTCACTTTATTATTTTATTCTAATGTGGCATACTCACATGTGAAGTCTATACAACTGAGCTGATGTAATGCTAGCACATATGAAAGGTGGGGACTCCAAATCTAACATAAAACATGGTGTGTCCATTCAATCGAATTTTAATCAGCTCAAATTGAATTTTAACCAATCTGAACTTTAATATGTAAAAAAAAAAATTAATTGACTCAAATCTTACTGCATAAAAAACGAATTTTAATCAGTTCGAATCGAATTGTAATACGTACAAAAACATAAATGTAATCAAATCGAATTGAATTTTAATCAATGGTAGCAACTCAAGATTGAGCTCAAATCTTCTAGAATTTTAATGCCTCAAAAAAGAAATTTGAATAGACTCAAATTTTAATACGTAAAAAAAATATTAATTAGCTCGAATCTATTTTAATCGGCTCAAATTTTAATATGTAGAAAAATGAAATTAAATTGACTCGGATTTTAATACATAGAAAAATAAATTTTAATCAACTTGAATTTTAAATGAATTTTATGGTAGACTATAAAAGGTGTGATTGAAATTTTCCCAAGAATTTTATGGGAAGCTTTTTTTTTTTCTTTTCCGTATTAATACTATTTTGTGAAAATCTTATTTTGCACCCTTAAAGATGCTCTAATTTTCAATTTTGACCCTTAAAGAATTGGATTCTCAAATTACTCCATTGATGTTATGAAATAGATGCAATGTAGCCCAATTCAAGGTAAAATTTAAGATTGAGGGTGCATTTTGAGCTTGAAATGGGGGCCACATTGCACATGTTATATAACATTGAGGGCAATATTTGAGAATTCAATTGTTTAAGAGTATAAATTGAAAATTGAAGTATTTTTCTAGGTACAAAATGAAATTAGCCTACAATTTTTTGTTTAGTGATTACAAATCTTTCATTCACACTTATCCCTTTCCCGCCAACACAATTATAGGAGTTCAGGAATCCTATTCTTTTAGTCTCCCACTCCCACGATCATGATCCTGCCTTCCCCACTAACAGCCACCACTCCTCCTTTCTCTCTCTGGCATGCTCCTTCTCTTTCACAGCTTCTCTCCTTCCGAAGAACAATCTTTCTCTTGCAAAGAATCTGTGGAGTACCGTTTATTGCAGCAAAATTCAGGTTAGTATCATAATCTGCCTTTGTCATTATATATATGTCTAAATGCATCCATGGCAACATCCAAAACCCCCTTTGGTTGTACTTTCCTTGTGTACTGTTCAACCGTAACAGACGACTAACACTGCCTTATAAAAGAGGGTCTTTGCTGCAAGGTCTTTTTAGTTAATTAGGTGGTTAAAATGAAGCTTGAGAGTCAAGATCTACAAATAAAATCATGAAACTCATTTGGTGTACATATCAAATTTCTTGTAATCTGCACAAAGTAGTTAGTTATCTATCAACTAGATACTTTAGAAGCGAAGGATCAATATTCTTTAATATTTTTTAGGCAATTTACATATTCAACTCTTCAAGTATGACTCAAGTTTCTATTTTGTCCTTCTAGTCCCAAATTCAATGGTTATTACTAACACTTAGTTATTGGAAATCACCTTTAGGAGCAGACGTAATAACCATTGGGCAGGAT